GGGGCAGTGGTCACCGAGATTTATCGATCTGATTCCATGTGGAATAAATTTTTATCTCGCGTTGTAATTCCTTGCGGCAAGGGAGACCGACTATTCATTATTCGTGACACAACAGTTGTCTTGATGACAGTTGTTCTCTTCCTTCTTAATAACATTTGTGGTTTTTCAGAGAGAGAGAGAGAGAGAGAGTGACATCAGGTAGAGATGGAAGCCCTCGAGCAGAAACACATAACTATAATTACCTAGAGGATTAGGTCGATTGCAAGAGTGGTAGAGTGAGTGAAATCAAAACTCTTTTTTGTAATGGAGACATTTGACTTGTTCTCCATGTCAATGAGTCATTGGATTCCTCATGGAGTTGAGTGTTTTCTCATGGAAAGTAGACTCTTCCCTGCTGGTAATGAGTATAACGGGAAATAGTGTCCTTAATTGGGGGAAAAAAATTTCTTGTGTGGGTATTTGAAAAAAAAAACACCTGTCGTGCCCCAGTAGAAACTTTTAACGTGATGAGATCGATTTGATCTTCCTCTTTTCATTTTTAAAATTGATTGCAGACACTGGAAAGAATTGTTTTGTAAGAATACCGAATTTAAAGACAATCAGCAGGTGTAAATAATAGAGAATGATTGACAATCGGCGGAGGAATGAATGCGAGACATAATAATCGATATGAATCACCAAAGGTCTCGAAAAAACAGTGGAGAAGAGAAACAAAACAACAGAATAACAATAAAAAAATTCATGAATCAGAAAACAAAGCATTAATGCAAATTGGACAAATCAAAAGGTCCCATAAACAATGTCTTTGTTTCCGTTTGTTTATTTCTCTTTATTAAACAGACTCCAAGACACCGAGAAGGAAATTTCAGTCGAGATTTTTTCTCATGGAAAGTAGACTCCTCCATTTGGTAATGATTAAAACCGGAAATAGTGTTCTTAACTGGGGAAAAAAAATTTCGTCTGCACATCTCGGCAAAACAAGCCGTCCCGCTTCACTCGAATATAAAACTTCAGTTTTTCCAATAAGGCAAGCTTCACTCCCCAAAACCTTCGAGTTTTAACCCTAGTCTGGTCACCAAACGCAACCTTGCGACTCTGGTCACGTCCGCGGGGATTCCCCGCCGTGTTATTCACACTCCAGCGTTGCCGAATTCACACTACACGGCCCGGGCGCGTTTAGCGAGTTTCCGGCAACGTCGCGTGATGGGCAATTTCATTTAACATGGGAAAAAGAAAATCATCGGTTCGAAATAATTTGTTTTCTTTAGGAATTTCGGGAAATACGTTATTCTAAAAACTATTATAATTCTTTAGACACATCAATTGACGAAGTTAATTTTATTTTATTTTTCCGGTTAGCCCGTCAATTGTAATTAAAGAAAATCGACGCGGGGTTTCCCTCATACGGTGATCAATCTAGGGTTAAAATAAAAATAATTTTCCTCAACTCAAGAAACTGTTGTCCTCCATAAAACGATGCTTCTGAAGGTGCCAGTTACACCTGTAATCTGATTCAATCAATCTGGATTAGATAAAAAATGCGTAATAGGGGCTATCTCTCGCCCGATTGACGACGCAAAACCATAATTCCCCCATAACGTCTGCATTTAAAGAAAGAGAACCCAAAGTCTCGCCATTTCTTCCCGAATTTGCATATTTTTTCTCCCTTCCAAGACACAAAAAACTCGTTTCAATTCAAATTCCCAGTCTTCCCACCTCTCCTTATCACTCACAACTATTTACCCAGATAAAACTACTCGTAATTCTCCCGAACCTAGTGGTCTCAATCCACAATCGCCGAAGAACTGTTCGAAATAGTTTGAAAACCGGAAAAAAAGTGCGGAATGCGAATGGCTTTCAAAAGCATCCCGCCAAACATTCCGGCACAAGTACCGCACGAGATAAGACAACAAAAAACTCATCACTGAATTAAAATAACAACTACTCACCATTTATCGATGTTAGCCACCTTGGCGAGACGCTCGTCGATCGAACAAAAATTAGAAAATTGTAAAAAAAATATGGAAACAAGTTTTCACTGTTTTTAATGCAACTTTCTCAGCCCCCACTGTATTCTTCTTCACCACAGCTGAGGCATTCCAGCCATCTTGTACGTATATCAAATTGTGGAATACAGTGCGCCGGCGTTTCGTGGCGTTCCCGTCGGCAATTACGTAAGGTTCACTCGGATTTTGTACTTACAACTTTCTCTCCTCTTCTGCTGCCTCGCAGCTACGATTCGATATCCCGTTCTTGTGACGCTACTTGTCGGAGCTGCGCCGTCCTCTACACAAGATATCGGCGGGGCCAGAATTGTTACAAATCGAACTTTGGTTCCTTTTCCCGGGCGTCGAGGGGGGGCACCACTTCCCGGAATTACTGAGAATTCTGGAAATTCTCTTCCTTTGTTTACTCACAACACTCAGATCTATTTTTTTTACACGAACGAAGAAATTCTATGGATAAGCCTAGCGCATTTTCTTGAATTCTATTGGATTTCTGTTGAACTTTAATTTTTTTCACTGAAGAATTCCGAAGCTTTACTGCGTTTTTTAATGGGAAATTTTTCTATTGAGACATTTTTTATAGAATTTTTCTTTCGTTTTCATTAAGGAATCCAACGAGACAATCAGAAAATTTGAACCGAGGAGTTTCTATGGAAAATATCTGAATAGAATAAGTTATCTAATAGAAAATTCTAGTAGGTTTTACTGCGCGCTTTTTATAGGACATGTCCACTGGAAACTATATTTTTTTTATTCATTTCTATGAAATTTCACGTACGTCTATGTATCTCCCAAAGTTTCAAATCATTTAGATTCCGAAGGTGTTGGGTTTTTCCATACGATTTCTTTCAATTTCAAGATTGCATTGAAAATATTACGTAGGTCCAGATATTAAACCGAATTCTGTTGGATTTTTACTGAAATTTCTGGTTTTCAGCCGATGTTATTTAAAAAATCCAGTTTTGTTAAGCATTTCTTTGGAAGAAATATTAAATAGAACACATTGCACTGAAAAAAACAATAGTCATTGAACTTAATACAAATCCAGTAATTTTAATTTACAAAGTTTTTGCCACGAATTTTTTCTAAGAAAAAAGAACATAATGCAGAGAAAAAAACTAGAAAAATTAATGTTACGAAATTTATTTGGATGGGAATAACTCAATAGAAGTGCAGAAAAATGAAACTCTGGTGATTCTCTCTATAAAAAATTTCCTACCAGACATTTCTATTCAGAAAAGTGCGCAGAAAAACTTCGAAATTTCTCAATAAAATGTGTGAAAAGTAATAGAATTATCCTGCGAATTTTTCTACGTAATTCAACGAATTCGAGGTGTTGTTTTCGGTGAGTAGGTGAAGACGGCTGGAATCAGACTAGTTATGGATTTCACTGAACTTTCGAACGGGTTACCCAGGGGTGAACAATCGTGAGAGCCATGGAGGTCAACCTCGAAGGTGAAGGGAAAGATGGAAAGTGAGTGAGAGAGTACATAATGCACGATCGAGTTGAGCATTGAGCATTTCTGTTCCAATTTTTTTTTGTTGCATGCTCGACGGGTGACTTTCATTTCACTACACAGGGGTTTTATTCGGCCGTTATAGGAGAGTTTCGCGACATTTATGCGCGTTTATGAACAGAAATATTTAATAGAATATTTTTGCAGAAAATTCAATTTTTCTATACAACTTATTTCAACTTCCTATTTGACTTATTTATATTTTTCTTTCATTGAGATTTCTCTGTTGAACATTTCGATTCAAAACAATTTTTTTTTTCAATAGAAATCCAACAAAATTCTGTTGTGAATTCGCGAGGTTTTTCTACGAGTAATTTGCACATTTCGATTAGAAAACGTCTAAAAAAATTTTTTTCCAATAAAAATCCAACAGAATTCCCTAGCGAATGTTAGGTTTATCTACAAATAATTTTCAGGCATAGGGGAGGGTGGGGTAAAATGGACACTTTAGACTTTTTTAAAATTATTCATAACTCAGAAACAAATTTATCAGTTGAGCTCAATTTAGGCTCGTCACAAAGGGAAAAAACTGTTCTTTGTATTGAAAAAAAAGAAATCAAATTTTATCAACGTTTCAACCCCTCATTAACATTTGGCATAGGGGAGGGTGGGGTAAAATGAACACTTTAGACTTTTTTAAAATTATTCATAACTCAGAAACAAATTTATCAGTTGAGCTCAATTTAGGCTCGTCACAAAGGGAAAAAACTGTTCTTTGTATTGAAAAAAAAGAAATCAAATTTTATCAACGTTTCAACCCCTCATTAACATTTGGCATAGGGGAGGGTGGGGTAAAATGAACACTTTAGACTTTTTTAAAATTATTCATAACTCAGAAACAAATTTATCAGTTGAGCTCAATTTAGGCTCGTCACAAAGGGAAAAAACTGTTCTTTGTATTGAAAAAAAAAAAATCAAATTTTATCAACGTTTCAACCCCTCATTAACATTTGGCATAGGGGAGGGTGGGGTAAAATGAACACTTTAGACTTTTTTAAAATTATTCATAACTCAGAAACAAATTTATCAGTTGAGCTCAATTTAGGCTCGTCACAAAGGGAAAAAACTGTTCTTTGTATTGAAAAAAAAAGAAATCAAATTTTATCAACGTTTCAACCTCTCATTAAAATTTTTAAAAAAAGTCAAAAGTGTCCGTTTTACCGCAACCTCCCCTATACTTACAGCACCATACTTCCCCCAAGCCAAATGTGCGAAAAAATCCAAAAATCGTCTCCCTAAAGACTTCACAAATCTCTGAAACCCGTGGCAGCACCCCACGTGCGCGAGTTCTATAATTAATCCCCGAAAGAAGCCCTTGTATTTCGCACCGATGAGCCATCGCGTCAAATAAAACTCCCTCCAAAAATAACAGCCCCCCCTCCCAGCCTGCCATACCGACCGCCGTAAAAGTAGTTGAAAAAAAAATTCTCCAACTCCCCCAGTAAAATCGGCGTGCGCATCTCGTATCCTCGAGGCACCAAGCGGTCCACAAACATTGACCCAGTGTTGGGCGATCGTCTCGAGACCCCACGGTTATCAAGTTGGTGGAAAAAATGGCGGATGTCGACTTGAACATCGACAGCTTGATACAGAGATTACTCGAAGGTACGTAAATAAATGAACAATTGTTGTGCCTTAAAAACAAGTGTCACCAATGTATCGTCATTCGATCTGTTCGTATCACGCAAAGCATCAGCCACTCCGCATTAAAATAATGAACAAAAAATAATAAATGAGAAACAAGTGTATCAAGTCGCTCTTCAAGTGCCTCTCGAGTCTCTCCTCACCGTCACTCTCAATTATCCCCTAATTAATGAAATCCATGATGAGTCACTGGTGAAACTCGAACGTAAATGTTCAATTACCAACAGCTTCATGTTTTATTTCACCCGATTTCATGCATCCGGGCATTGACACCTTGCTCTTAGCCAGGTATCCAACCTTGCTCTCGATAATTCATCACCATCTAAGGACAAGGTGCCAATCCACCTCTCTCTCTCTCTCTTTCTCTTTTCACATCATCTCTGTAGATAAAAATATTCTCGATAAACGTCGACTCATTTTTATTGATGAGCCAACAAAAAAAAACAAACATGTCTGTTTCTTCTTTCTACCATGCCTTCTTGTCGGAATAATTTTGCGGTAAAGTATATCACACACAGAATAATGATCAGGTCCAGAAGAAGGGCAGACTAGCTGATATATTCCTTTCAGAGTTTGCTGGTAAAATCGTTGAGAGCAATCGTGTTGTGTAGTTGTTTATTTGATTGTTTTTCTGTATTTGTTGTTTGAGGTGTGAGCATGGTTTACTTGTTTTGTTGTTGTGGTTTTATTAATCTAGGGTGAGATACACGTATTCAGGGCGAAACACTGATTTTTTTATTTTTACTTCAATATCAAGTTGAGTATTTTATTAGATTACAGTTTTTTGGAGGTGATGAAACGTGAGGGACATATATGAAAATAATTCGTAGACAAACCTAGAGAGTTGAATAAAAAATTCTATTTTATTTCTATTGAACTGTCCAGTTTAGTTTAGTTTTTGGTCGATTCTGTTGAAAAATTCCGCATCTTTGCGCCTTTTTTTCAGTCACAATGGAAATTGTTCTACAGAATCAATCAATGGAATTCGATTTTTATATACAACTTATTCCATTGAGAGGCTTTTAATAAAAATTCCTGGGCTCAAATTTTCCAAGCTTTCTTCTATTTTTCAATGAAGAGAGAAGAAAAATGTGGAAAATTTCTATTAAGGAATTCGTACAAAAAATGTCTCAACACAAAGAGTTGTATATAATGATGAAATTCTACAGATTATTAAATCAAATAGTTTCTGTTGGATATTTTTTCTTAAAAAACGCTGTAAAGCTGCGGAATTTTTCACTAGAATTATCCAAACATTAATAGAATTTTCTGTTGTCTTTGTTATTTTTTTCTATGAACTTTCTTCGTGCCTCAAATATTTTTGGGGATTGTCAAAAAAATCTTTGATGCGATTGCGGGAATTTCAAACGAATAATTCCTCTTGACATTATGCCCTGAAACCAACAGTTCTGGGGATAATCTCGTATTCAACAAGGTGTGAATAATCACTTTGTTTTGTTCTGCTCTCTGTTACGTTTCACCACTTCAGTATTGAATTTGATACTTACCCCTGAAACCAGAGGAAACTGTAGTGCTACTTTGATAATTATAAATACATGACACGGTAATAATTAGAGACAATGACCCTTTACCTTCGTCAAGGACTCAGTAACAACGTACAACCCAGTATCGACTCTAAACTTACTTTTTCCCTTTTTTTTTCATTGTGGATTTTTTTATCCAATAACTACCGTGAAATGCATTAAACTGCATGGCTGAGTTCTTCACGGTCGTGTCTATAAATAAAACTGAAAATAATAACGATGAAGGGAATCGATGATATTGGGCATCGAGTGTTTTTCAACTGAATAGACTGTTATCATCCATCCAAGAGTCCAAAGAAACCTTTCATTAAGAAAGTTTATCCATTGTTGAAAGAATCGCATTTATCATGTTCGAGGGGAACTGTACGATTTTTTATACTGATGGGGAACATCTGAGACCAACATTTCTAATTGTTAAGGGGGATACAGAGCTCTAGCTTTAATGGAATTTAGTAAACAAGTTTTTTGTTGCACGCGTTTTCATGCGGTTTTCAAGGGATTTATTTTCAAATTGATAATTCACCTACTGACAGACTCCAAAAGCAAAAATAAAAATAGAGGAGATGTGAAAAATGTACTGAATCCAATGGCGACACGCACAGAAAAAAATCTATCGAAAAACAGCATTCACTGGAGAATTCTATTGAATCTCCACTGGATATCTGTTGAACACTGTTAGTTTTTCGCTGATTGTAATGAATTCCGCAGCTTTTCCGCGCGTTTCTTTCAATAGGAACTGTTTAATAGAGAAAATTAACAGAATTCAGTTTTTAAAAATATAAATTAGCTTCCCTGTGATCAATTCTTCACTTCCTTTCGTTTCTCCTCTCAATCAAATAAAAAAATTTGGAGTATTTAGACAGGAATTTCTAAAGAAAATATTTTAATAGAATAAGTTATAGGGAAAGATCCAATTCTGTTGATTTTTTCGATGAAATATTTCCAGATAATCAGCGCGGATTGGTGGCTTAAAGTTGTTATCAACCTGAAGAAGATAACTGCGTTTATCAGTTATAAACAAAAATTTAAAAATGCATTGAGTCTCGGCGATTTTTTATGAACATCATTAACAGTGATCCGATCCAATATTCGGTTATTGTTTCATATTTTTTTCGTTCCCGAGAAACTCAAATATTTTCTATAAAAATCCCTTCCAATAATGTTCTCTGGTTTTCCCAGTCCATGTTTTTCTCCTTTTGATAAAAAATCAAGCAAAAAAACTTGGAAAATTCAGGAAGAGGAATTTCTGTAGAAAATATCCCAACAGAATGCGTTTTACGAAAAGATCAAATGCTGTTGATTTTTCCGATAATATATTTCTGTATAATCAACCCGGGTAGGCGAACCACAGTATTTATCAACACGAAGATAACTCCGTCTATCAGTTGAAAAAACATTAAAAATACCTCGAGTGCTTGTGATTTTAGACATCCTTAACAGCGAAATGATACGATAGTTGGGTTATTGTTTCGTATTTTTTCCGTTTCCGAGTGCAAAATTTTCTATTCTCAGCGAGGAATATCTTTCTGACGCAGTTCGAGGATGTCGTCCAGGGAAATCGGTTATCATGACGGAGGCTGAGGTGCGTGGATTGTGCCTGAAGAGTCGTGAGATATTTTTGCAACAGCCAATACTTTTGGAATTGGAAGCACCACTCAAAATATGCGGCGACATACACGGCCAATACACCGATTTACTCCGGCTATTTGAGTACGGTGGATTTCCACCCGAGTCGAATTATCTTTTTCTCGGTGATTACGTGGACAGGGGTAAACAGTCTCTGGAGACTATTTGTCTGTTGCTTGCGTATAAGATCAAGTATCCTGAGAATTTTTTTCTCCTGAGGGGCAATCATGAGTGCGCGAGTATCAACAGGATATATGGGTTTTATGATGAGTGCAAGCGCAGGTATAATATCAAATTGTGGAAGACTTTTACGGATTGCTTCAATTGTCTGCCTATTGCTGCTATCATCGATGAGAAGATATTCTGTTGTCATGGGGGATTAAGTCCTGATCTGCAGGTAAATATGGGATTGGTTGGGGGATGTACAGAGTTCATTTCGATCAAATGAAGGAGGATTTCTCCAATTTCAAACCTTTAATTGATTGAAATCAATTCTGGAATCATCTTCATTTTATGGCGATGACTTGTCCCTTGATTTATAATATATCACATCATTCAATTGTCATTCAATTATCACATATATCATATCATTAAATTCTTTGTTAGGGGAAAAGGTTACGAAATGTCAAAACTTGATTGAATTCCCTTAATTTTTACTGAATAATAGAACTCTAATATAAAATTTACCTTTCATTCTATCATCAATTATGAGGAAATGAACAGAATATGTAATTTTCTAGTGAAATTTCAATGAAAATGTTGCTTTTCAAAAATGCTTAGTTTTTTACAGAATTTATTTGTTTTGTTTCTTTCAAAATTCGTTTTGTTTTCTGAAACTTGCGTGGATATCTGTGTAAAAGTGTTAATTGTCCAATTGTCTCTGAAGAGTACAAACACAACTTTCTTATAGCCCACAAAATTCCCTGCAGAAAGACTTGTGATGTGATTCTAGAATCTTCATTATCGAAATGCGAGAATTGACTATTTTCTCAATTTGATTTATAATTTCTAGGGAATGGAACAAATCAGACGGATTATGAGACCAACTGATGTCCCAGACACTGGACTCCTCTGCGATCTCCTTTGGTCTGATCCAGACAAAGATGTTCAGGTACTGAAGATTTCTCGTCATTAAAGTAAAGGAGAAATTACAGGTTTTCTAAAAAAAATTCCTTTACAAAAAAATACAAAAACGCAAAAAAACAAAAAATTACAGGTTTTGTAGAAATTTTTCCTTTGTTTTGTCCTTACGATTTGTTTTCTTCATTTAGTTTTTCATGGATCTATCTTTCATTCTGTTTTTTCGTGATTGCAGGGGTGGGGAGAAAATGATCGAGGTGTATCCTTCACCTTTGGCCCAGACGTAGTATCAAAATTCCTAAACCGTCACGATATGGATCTCATATGCAGAGCCCATCAGGTAGTCGAGGATGGCTATGAATTTTTTGCAAAACGACAACTTGTCACGCTATTCTCAGCCCCGAATTACTGTGGTGAATTCGACAATGCAGGAGGCATGATGAGCGTCGATGAGAATCTCATGTGTAGCTTCCAGGTACCTTGAACGTATTTTATTTCTAAAAACAACTCGACTGTACTTCCTTCACAGTTTATTTATAAAGGTCTATTTTTACAAATGCTAGATTTTGAAACCATCCGAGAAAAAAGCGAAATATCAGTACGGTGGTATGATTGCGGCGCAGACTGGAAGGCCATCAACACCCCAGAAGAATCCAACCAAAAAGAGCAAAAAATGATCGTCATACCCAGCTGATCCTGCATAGCAGTCAACACTCATGTCATTCTAGGTGAGAGCTATTCTTCACTCAAGTGGTGGAAATAATGAGTTCAACGTGATGTTTTTTGGACATTCATCTTGGAAATAACGAGGCTTTTTTTTAGGAGGTGAAAAATATTCCAACGAAAAAGTTTGCTAATAATAAGGGCAAGGAGGGTGAAATGACCCGATTTAAATCATCATTATCTCAAAATCGGCAGTGTGAAATTTAATTATTATTAATATTTTTTTCATTAAAAAAATATTTTTTCAAGCTTTGAAACGAGTCCCCATTATGTAATTTTTCTAGGAGATATTGATGATTGAATAATGTTCATTTTACCTGACTTTCCCCTATTATATTTACCGAATATGTTAAAATCGACTGTTACGTGATAAGTCCTCGTAAGATTTCCTCGAGTTGATTTCACATTTATCTCGGGAATGAGTGAGTTTAGGGTGAAAAGTCAACCAAAAAATTGCCATATTCTCCTAACATAACTTGTTAACAGAAATTTCAAAATCGCCCCGTTACGTAATGAGTTTACATAGTATTTTTGCTGATTGTGAAATTATCTCGAGATAAAAAAAATGTCGAGGAACATCTCGTTGACAAAAAAAATCAAACAAAGTATATTTTTTTCATTTACTTGGAGAATCTTTACTGACATAACATTTACTCTGATCAGTTATGCATTTATCTCGTGATTTAATGTGGAGATATTGCCCGTATGAGGAGTCCCAGAGAAATGTTTCTTAAAACTTCTCTTTCAATTCTCCATTTTCAACACTTTTGTATAAAGAAGATTAAAAAATCGACTTCTCACGTGATGCATTAGCATAATATATTCGTGAACGGTGTCTTCATCTCATAAACTTATTTTTCTAGAAGATTATGTGAAAAAACCTTTCTCATGTGTGAAAAAGAAATCCACAAAAATGTATCTCAATATTGTCTCCTAAAATTCTTTGACATTGAGACAGTATGAAATTCGAATTAGCGTAAAAATCAACTGACACGTCACGATTCGACATATTTCCTCACTCGTCTGCTTGAAAAAAATTCCCCGATATTCCCCGAGTGACAATCCTAAAAATAATTACCCTCAGCACGCCACCTTGTGTCCACATTCATCAAACAATCCTCAACCGTAATCAATCTCGTGTGTTTCAGTTGTGGGACGTCGTATTATCCAATTGAGCCCATAACGCCACAGCCGAACGTATACAAGTACCTCTTCCTCGATTCGCAACGTTTAAATCGTCACTAAAGAAACTAAAAGAGAAAAAAAAAATATGAGGAGAACAGCCATCGGCGGTGAAGAGAGATATGAGTGATGACAGGCTTTAAAATCAGAAAATGAATAACAAATGATGAAAATACGATTGATCATTCTTCCTGTTGACTATTGACAGTTCATTTGTTCTATTATTTTTTCAATGGATTTACTGTTGAATTATTATCAGAGCTTAATTTTATTTCTCATGCATTAATTATTGAAATTCGTACTTCCAGCCTTCAGGAGTGAGGATGAAACGCCTTTAACGTGCATTTCGTGAATGTACTTTATTTATTGCTTATCAAACATTAGGTTAACTTTGTCAGTGATCACTCGTGATCATTGAGATTGATTCATTGAGAATTCGCTTGTCGACTTCGTTAACAGTCAAATTCAATCGTTTTTTTTATTAATTTTTAGTGTGAGATGTTTAGGAGCAGGATACACCTCTTGTGCAACAATTTTTAACGATTTAATTTCTTCTTTTCGTGATGTTTGTTCAGGCATTTAATTTCTCGCTTACTCAGCGGCATCGCACGTCGTTTACGTAGGCATTTTTTTTTCTTTCATTTGATATTATTCATGATCCGTCTCGTCTTGAGTCACTTCCTCAGAAATGATACGCCGACTTGTGTGAGAATGTCTAACCGTGAATTATGTGAATGTGCGAGGGTGAATGATTAGATTTTGTGAAGAGATAAAAAATGATAAACAGTATTTTTTATGGCGATGCCTCTGTATAGATAATTATAAGTTTTCCTCGGAAATTTAATGTGAGGTGGGGGAGGTTGGGGGGGATTCTGTGAAAATTGTTGTAGTGTTGAGATGTACGAAAAAAATTTGTAGAAAAACCTAGCGAATTTGGTGGAAAATTCGATTGGATTTCTTTTGAAATGTCTACTGGCTTTTGGACAATTCTCTTGTTCAAGGGAGAATATTCTATAGAAAAAATCAATGGAATCCGGTTTTTCCAGTCCACTTATTCTATGGATATATTTTCTCAAATTTTCAAAGTTTTTTGTTGAATTTTTTTAATGAAAAAAATAGCAAAAAAATAGGGGTAATACACTAGAATTCCCGCAGAAAATGTCTCAGTAGAAAAAGTTTTATAGAAAGTTAAAATTCTACTGATTTTTTACTATAAAATAGTTTATATTGAACACACGCCCAGCTTCGGAATTCTTCTGGTTTTCCTATGAAATTTTTTCATGCGTGGGAGAACAGGAGATGAGGCAAGGAGGTTTGGATTATTTCAATAATGAGATAATTCAATTATCAATAGTGAAAAAAAATTCCTGCAGCAGTAGATGATTTCGCACATGTCTCTGGAACGAATACTTCCAAAGAAAAATGTCAGGAGATTTCTGTAGATAATTCTATTGGCTACAAAAAATATTTATTGATATTTTTCCCTAGACCCATCGGTTCAAAAGACATTTCTCCATCTCCTGTGATCACTTAACCACTGGTTTTGGTTGATTTTGTTGTTTACGGTAGTAAAAAATATACCAGGTTGTGTCGTAAGATCAAATGATTCGCCTTAGGTGGGCATTGCAATATTCTCGTGTCCTTTCATTGCCGTTTCAGGTAAAAAGAAGAATTAAGAAAAATACAAAATTAAAATAATAATATTAATTAATGGTATAATGATTAGTATAATGAGCGAAAGATGTAAAATTACATGGGATAATTATTATAACTGTACAAACATGATTACTTTTGGTTTATCTGTCGTAGATAATGTGGAGACATTACGATTCTTTGAGATTTTATCCTACCTTTTTGCCTGAAAATTTGTTTTTTCAGGTTTAATCGGGTGGGAATTTTGTTGACGAGGGCATCCCTTGTGCACTTTATTGATTGAATAATACATATTAATATTTCAATTATATTATTATATTATTATTCATGTGTCTATCATTTACATCAAGATCATTATTTTGCGGTTGTTCGACATAACGTAGTACATTAACAGAATCTATAGAGCGACGGCGAAGATTAAAGAATATTGAGAATAAGAAAAACACCTCAAGTTGTAAACTTTCAGATAATAAATATCCCTATTGTTGTAAAAATATTGTGGAATTTTTTCAATGGATTTACCCTATTGGAAAACTTGATTTGAAGATTTTCTGGCGTCAAATGACTCTTCTTTGAACATTCTCTTATGAAAGTCATGAGAATAATTGAAATTGTTTAATTTCTGAAATGTCACTGTTTTTTTTAATGAAAAATGACGAACGCGGTTTTATGATAAACGCAAAAACAACAAAAATATTGAATTTCCGTTCTGCCAGAGCTATTCTTTATTGACCAGGGCGCATAAAAATGAATGAATTTCCATCGTGGAAGTCATGATGTAGATTTATTTCAATGATAACTGGGTACAATGATAACAATTACGTAGAAACAAATTTCAATTTAACAAAAAAAAAGGGACAACTCATAAATTTCTTTTACGATTAAGAATCAATTAATTAATAGTAGGCGAGCTATGGTCGGAGAAGGCCAGCTACTCTGCTCAGCCCGGGCAGTTTCCCACGAGTCTTCTCATCTCTTCGCAAAAATAAATCCAACTTCGTATTCTTTTTCATTCATTGTTTAGACAATTCTTTCGATCTCTTTTCGTTGGTGCGCTTCCTACTTCCGCGAGCAGGGGGATGCACGATATCGTCTAATATTTGTGAGCTGAAAGAAATTGAAACAAAAATAATTACTGCACATGGTCATCGTCAGGTTGGAAAAAAAATTAAATCACGGTTTGACGTTTTTGAATGTAAAACCATTCTTTGGCAATTGGGGTTCACTCAATATTCGACATGTATTTCATGTATTATCAATAATTCGAGTTCAAATACAATTATAGAAATTAACTTAATAATGAGGAAAATGACCAATTTTTACAACGAACAAAAATTAATGAATTTGCTGCTGTATTTCATTAGAAGAATAGTGAAAAATCAAGAAGTTTTGAAAAGAATTCTCAAAAAAATGGTCTCATTATTTCATTATGATCGATTAGAATAAAAAATACGTGTTTAATATTTCTCATCGAACATTTATTTTCGACGATAAAAAAAATTAAAATAAATCTTCAACTCCTGGATATTTCTGAGGTACCTTTTTGCAAAATGAAAGAAATTTCAATTTATGAATTAATAATACATGAATAAAACATGACCGCAAAACGCATGGGTCATTGAAAAAAGTAGAAAACATTTCTAAAATAAATTCATGCTTCGGGATACACTGAACGCCGATATGACAGTTGTCCTCGTAATATCGAGAGGTTTAATCTCACTTGCTCTCATCAGGGAACAATTATGGAAAATCGAAGCGGTAAGCGAAGCGTCTACGCTACTACTCGTCCGTTTCACATTTCCCACTGCGCACTTTACCAAAAAAAAAACTAAATAAACGACATTTGCGAGTGTCTGTAAAGACTCCTTACAAACTGCACATTTAAAGGATATTCAATGAAGAAAAATCAACTGAATAATTAAAAATAAACGAGATTGTAATATTCTGGCTTACTTGACATAACTGGCACGTATGTCTAATGCCTATATGTAATGTAATGTATCCTTTCTCGCGTCGTATTACCGGCAAACACCGTCATTATGGGTTAATGGAACGTAAGTGCTAGTAGAAAAAATGGTGGTAATGATCTGCCGCAATTGGTATCATTTTTTTTTCTAGTCAATCGACACTTGGAGGTTGTCAAAAGTTTTGTTTCTTGGGGGGAACGAATTACACTCTACATTTTATACTTCCTGATTAATGGACTGAGAGAAAAACTGCAGGGATATCAAAATTTTATGGAAAATTCAGTGATTTCGCTAGAGAATTCTATTGAATTTTTAATTTAAAAAATCAACGCGGAAAATAACTGTAGGTCGGTAATTGGGGCAATTGTATTTCAGGAGTTTTTTAAATTAAATTTAGAAACAAAATGTGAGGCAAAGTATGAACTTTTCCCTCTGCTGGGGATAAAGTATAAAAATGACTGATAAATTTGACCGCATTTGCAATGTTTAATAATTTCTGTTGCATTTTGTTTGTAATTTTCTATTGATTCTTTGATATTGGGGCTCTAGGAGAATTGTTTGGAGTAGTGAAGAAAATATTAATTATTCTCTTCCAATCTTTGTTGAAAATTTTTCTTTAATTATTTTTTAGTTCGTCCCACGTTTTTGACTGAAATTTGTTGGAAAATTCGATAAATTTGTATTTTTTCATGCAACTCAATCCCTCAATATTTTTTCTATAATGAATTTCAAAAACATTGGAAATTTAATGTAAATTCTAGTTTTTCGTGCGGTAAAATTAGTTTCTCTAATGGAGATCAGCACGAAACGCGTACAATTTTCAATAGAATTAGCTAGCGAATGCATTAGATTCTCTATTAAATTTTGACAAAAGTGTGACTTCTGAGTTTGAGAATTCAACCTGGACAACTCACTTCCTTGAACTCCTAAGATGAAAACCCTATTCCACGACTGATTTGATCTCAAATAAAATTCAAATTCACAGCAATAAAAATTTAATCGTAACCATTACTTGAATTTCAAAAAGTTTCGAACAGTCGCTCGCCCTCTCCCAAATAACTGCCAAATTCTCTCACTTACAATTCTCAGTTTTTCAATCAGTGAATTCATGATTACTCATTGATTATTGACACAATTATGAAGGGGTAAAAGGGGATTCATAGACACTTGATCAATATCAAGAATAATTGCTCACGTTTGTTCAATAATATACCATGCTCACTATTGTACCACGGGCTGGTAAAGTGATATCTTGGAACGGGCTGCGAATAGTAATAGTATTTTTGTCCTGAAACATTTTGTATCTCTTGAAAATTTGCAGTCTCAATATCAATACCTGACATACAACATGTAAATGTGCGGTATATTGTTCTTTGGCAGACAATTCACTCTCTACAATAGCATAATACTGAGGAAAATAGTAACAGACTTCATGCTCGCGATGAATAATCAAAAACATGGACATGAAAATATTTAACGTAAAAAAATAATAAATATTAGAATTGACAAAACTTTAATGAATTCGAGGCTTGGAATAATCGTGCTAGCTCATGTAAATCGTGATACCGCGAATTTAAATCCTGATGAGCCTCACGGGGTTACAACAGTGCGAGGAAACCCGCCTGGTTGTCTGGAAAACAAACGACATGGTGAAATTTAATCGAGAACTTTTCAGTGGGATTTAAAAACGCGATTATCCGCTCTTCGGGGGCAGGAGGGGGACTATCAGTTACCGTTTGTTGACCTGCTCGTTGAAAAAACCTGAGATGCGTTCAAAAATATTGAGATAAAATTTAAAAGCGTCATTGCGATAAAAATTGATGAAGTTAGGATGAAATTCAAATTATTCGGCATTTCTCATTGTTACGTTTCTGGATTGAAGTGGTAAAACGTAATCAATGAACCTTTATCATCTAATTAAATACGAAATTACTTTATTATGAGTGCATTTCAGAGGAAATGTCGTGACAATATTTTTATAGTCAATTTGTTTAGATATAAAAATGGTTTTTCGACATTTCGTTGAAAAATAATGAGTTTTTTCAAGATAATTATAAGCTGCAGTAGTAATTTGTCCTGTGTATGATCTAGAATGAACGAGATTCGCAGAAATTAATAGAAGGGAACTTTTTTATAGACAATTTTCTCATCCGCACAAATGATTACTCAACATTTTTGCATGAAATCATCTGAGATGAAAACCCTAGTTTTCAGAATGAAGAGGTTTCGAATTTTTATAAGTCTTTCTAAATTCGCAGAGTCTCAAGATAATTCTATCGTTATTAAAAATATATGTTCAGTTGATCACGTCCTACCACTCAATCTGGAATACCATCCACACTGTTAGAAAATTACTCTTGAAATTTCTGTATATTTCTTCATTGACGAATCAATTAATTTCGTGAATACTCAGACAATTCTCGATTTTCAAGTCCATACGGCACTAAAAAACCTTGAAAATTTTGAAAATTCAGGTAATCACTTTTCTGAATTCTCAACCTATTGAAAATTGAATTGTACGTGATGTTCAATTTTCGCGAAGGGTTTGGAAATTCAAACTTTCATTGAAAAATCAATGATTGTTTACCATGAAAAATCCAATTTTCTTGAATTCTCAAGATGAATGAGAAATTCAGTGAACGCCTTCATTTGAAATTGAATTCAACTTCACAATATCGAAAATTCAGATGACGTTGTGACTGAAATTTCAAGAAATGTCTAACAGTGTAACAATCAGAAATAACGAATAAATCCGAACGTAAAACTGAGTATGAATATTCCTCATTGCTTTATGTGTCTGCCTGAACATACCGAAGGGCCTGAGGGGATGTCTGCTCCACAGGTAATTACGTTTAATGGGGCTGAGGTAGCTGTCCCTCAGATAGAAGGGGCTGGTGCTCCATTGAGCGTAGCTTGGGATATATGGTGCATAACATGGATACCACCATGGATCTCTAGTGAAGGCGGTGACCGGTGCCGATGGCGATGGCTCCAGCATATCGAAGAACGTCTTTCTTCCTAGCTTCAATGGATACGTGTCGAAAAAGTCGTCCAGTAGTTTTCCTAAATGATTTTTTTCAATCACGAGAAAAGTTTATTATCTTTTTCATTCAATCACTAGCTTCATTTTGCCTCATCAGCATGCGAATAATTATCGTTGCGAGAGAATTTTATCTTTCCCTTGGATCAGCAGCGGTTGAATTGATCTTTGTTTTTGGAGAGAGAACATCATTCCCGAATTGAGAATAGAGTTCTTCATTGGAGATTTTGCATATTTTTTGTTGTTGGAAATGAATATGGTTTTCGTTTTTTTTATTTTCTAAATATTTTCTCATGTTGTTTGATGGGGTACATATGGAAAATTCTGCATTCGATGAAATTAACTTTTGAAATATTTTTAAAACTAGGGAAATCAAATTCGCCCTTTTACTTTACTTTTTTCAATTTAGAATTAATTTTTTCTGTCTTACGAATGACATCGTTTGCAATTCTCAAATAGAAATAATCTTTCTGGAGTCTTGAAAATAAGTTGTGAAGTAGTATAAGTCAACATGAATTCGGGGGCAGTTTACTACAATTATCTCTGAACCTGAGGAAAATAGCAAAATTATTTTAGAGAATTCTTTTGATAAAGGTAGATCTAGAAGTGGAATTGATTTGTTTTGCCCCATTGAAGAACTATTCTTAATTCAAGGAAATTTCATGTATCAAAAAATTTAATAGAAAAATTCAGTACTTTCGTTAAAAAATTCTATTGAATTTCCCTAAAAATTATCCTGAAATTCTATCGAACTTTTGCAGTTTTTTGCCAGTTATTTAACAGAAAGATTCAATAGAATTTGATTTTTAGCTTCCCTTACAAAAAAAAGGAGAATTCATGTTCAAAAATGTTTTTATAATAAAACTATTGAATTTTTTCTATTAAAAATCCACCATAAAAGAAAATTTCAATAAAAATCGCAAGAAAAGAAAGAATTCCCAATAGAATACAGAAAAAAAAATTATTTTCAGGGACATGTCTGTAAATTCCGGAGACATATTACTAAAATTATTATAAAATTTTAGAAATCTATCGTCAATTATTCGAAATTTAGTGAGAATGTCACTAAAAATTAGCGATAAATCCCCGGAATTCCAGAATTTCGCACTCGTGGAAATCAGTGACACGTCCCAGAAAGTGAAATCTTTTTGCTTTCTCTGTGACCAAAGAAATCCATTAATTTTTCTCTCGAATTATCTCACACGCATGTCCTCTCCCCGATGCTTGCTTTGAATGCGGTTTTTGCTTGAGTACCAACCGTGTATATCGAACAGCGGTTTCGTAGTCAGGGCGGGACGCTTGTGACGAGCTAATAGGGGCGATGGAGTTGGATACAATCTGTCGATGTCGGCCAGTCGGTCCAAATGATCATTCCACGCTTTATCAGCATCGTACGGTTTCGCTGCGCATTCCAACCCAAGGGGGATTATATAAAGAAACATACAAAACATACAAATAATAGTCATCAATCAATCACCAATGACTTCCGTCACTTGTTATTAATTTTCAATTCTCATCGATTGTCACGTGACCTTCACCACAGCCTCCGCTCTTCACTCGCTGACAGAGACTGACTATTTAACCCTCAACCGAGGGTTTATCGTGAAGATAATGAAGAAAATAAAACATGCCAACCCCCGGAAAAGACAGAAATCACTGGGTATTTTAGTAATTCTGATTCGGGGAGAACATATCATCCAATGTTAGTGATTCACCGATTAAATCCGAAACATTCAGATATTGTTAGGGCGATTCTACACGAATTTCCAGCTTTTTCGAAGTTTGGCGATCACGAGATTTTTCTTGCTTTGAGTAAACTGCATATATTCTATCAAAGTTATAACAATTATGGGGCATCAATGAACATGCCTTCATTACGTCTATCGAGGGAATAGTTTATTAATTATATAATTACAACGTTCGCACGCACGCAATTTTACATTACAATTGAACAATGTCGATTGATTTCTCAATTTGAGATTCAATTGGATGTGTTGCGACGCATTTCCCAAGTAGATCTCGTCACTCTGGGGATCTGCATATTTATTACGAATGCCAGTCTGTCGTCAGAATCAACAAATCGACGGAAAATTAAAGAAAACTCCGTGAGATATCCAGTCTCGCCGATTTCTCAATGTTTTAATCTTCAGCAATGATCCATAAACTTCTTTCTCCCTATTTTTCCACTTTCTCATGAGCTGCTGCTGCCTGAGATTGCTCAAATCAATCATACGGTGGAGATAAACCATTTCGTTTGGTATACCGTCTGAAATCAGTTGGAGAATGTACCAAGTTGGTTGCTGATGCGACAACAAATGCTCCGATGAAACTGGAGTTTGCTGGTGATGTCATTGACAATCAGATGAGTGCACACGAGTGCTGAGAAGACACGATGAGACACCAGGATATTTAACGAATGATACGAGAAGACTGATGAGACTGATCGACTTGGGAATAACTGTCGTTTCAATATTTATTTCATTGACTATTGCGTGCGTGCGTCCGCCTAGTGACGCTTGGATGATCATCAAAAAAATGGAAAAAAATCGGTTTTCAATCTTCTTTTAATGAACTTTCTTTTAACACTAATTAACGATATACAAAGACAGACACATTGGAGAAATACGAGTTTGTTATTTCATAATTAAGGTCTCTTGATCGATGAACCATGCGTACAATTTTTGGAATTAATTCGCATTTCGGGAGATCACGGAATCTTTTTCAATTAACAAAACGGATTCCAATTGTTTTCATGGATTTTTATGGGGTGACCGTCTGTGTGGGATTTTGCATTCTGTTTTCTGGAATTGTTGCTGGTTTTTAGTGATGAAGTGGCTGAGGGCGTTTAATTTTTAATTATGCACAGAGCGATTCCAAAATTCAACGGGTCCGTTACTACTTAGAACTGGAAGTCTTGGGTTGTTCATCGTATTTTCGACTGCAACTTAAAACTCATTTTTCGAAAAAAAATGTTCTGTTTATTTGGAGTTGGTTCCGTGATCTCTTACGATGGATGAATTCAGTAGTAAAGTAACAAAACGAGATTAGTTTTCTTGTCTCCGATCGTCAATATTTCCCGACTGAATGGTACAATTTGAACGAATCATGTCTCGTTTTAAAACTTGAAAAAATACCTTGAGAACTAAAAAAAAATTGGAACATTGTAATTCGCCATTCTCGAGTTATTGACGATTAGAGACTTCATCTCGTTTCATGAATCATTTACTGAATTACTGGACTAGTCGGACTATCCAACTCAATCCATCTCCAGTAACCTAAGAATTTCGTCGATTATTAGATGCACTGGGTGTTGATGAAAACGTTTGAATGAATTAATACAATCTCTCTTCCACGTTTCGTTGAATAAAAAAAACTTTCATGTATATCGAGGTAACGTGCACCCTCGCTCGGAACGAGGGGACCAGGCTCTTTGCGGGCGTGTAACATGGACGACGAGGCTTGCAGGCGGGGGAAAGGATCATTAGGGGCAATGGGATTATCAATGTCACGGGGTAACAGTACAAAAAAGATCCATTCATTTTAATTTACGTGTTAAAACGAGCGGAGATTGATCTTGAACTAGAACCCATGACCCACGACAAAATAAAACGAAAATAAAATGAGACAACAACAGAGGTGAAGAGAGAAAGGAGAGAGTCTTTTTACATATGGAAAATACGTGCTTCTGGACGATGACCCCAGATCCTGACGCTCAAGCGACAGAAAATTGTCAAGAATATCAATTAGTTTGATTCGCGGAATTGATGAACTCGCGCTGTCACTTTTTGATGGTTTAGGTTATTATTTTTTTTTCACGTTTTGGTGAATTTCCCAGTCAGATAGCGAGCTCCGGACGTGGGGGGTCTCGTGCTTAGTACGTACCAGAGAAGCGCTCGACGGGCTTGTACTGGTGGGGGTACAGCTGCCTTGGGGAGTAGCCGTAGATCTCGCGGTGAACGGGTAAGTACCTGAAGCAATAGAAATAAAATTAATTAATAATGAGTGGAACAATGGACGAATGCGATTTCGGTGAGAAGATTGAAATTTCATTCGCACTTTGGTAATAACTTTTAGGGGGGCGACATGGAATTTAATTTGAGGAAGAAAAATCCTTGAATTCGCTATAAAAACATGCGCAGCAAAAACGAATGTCGGAATTTCATAAAACACTAAAAAACGTAGGAATAAAATGAAAATCTGTGAATTTCAGACGAACAGGTGCCCAAACATTTTAATTCCTGTTTGAAATTCAGACAAATTTTCATTTTATTCAGACGTTTTTAGTGTGAAAAATGTCTTCAAAAAGGCGTGTGCAGGGATAGCCATATTTTTAATATTTAATTACCGTTAAATATTGTAGCCATGAATTGAATAACATCACTCTTAAATTTTTTGAGTACTTCAATTCAAATCATCAATTCAAATATTGAAATTTTTAACTATTTTATCAATCAATAATTGAGGTAGGAAGATTGATGATTATTTGCGTAATCGAAAATCCCCTTTTGAGAAATTGGAATTATTCACTTGGTAGTTAATTTACAGTTTCATATCAACAAATTTTAAACACATAATTATTCGAAAAAAGCAGATTATCAACATATTTTAAACCTTCATTAATGTACGGGTCAAGCTCTTGTAATATTGCAAAAATTTAATATTGATGGGGATTCCTGGGTGTGTGAAATTCAGACATTCGTTTTTGATTTTCAATGATTTAAAAATTTAAAAATCTATTTATTAGAATTTTTTAAATTTCTGTTAATTTTTATGGAATAATTGATTTGAAATTGGCATTTTCCACAGATTTTTCCATCGAATGTTGACTTTTCAATGGCAAAATGCTTCAGAATTCCGGTGGAAATGTCACTTCACGAAGACTTTTCTACAATCATTCAAATCTTCTTATTTCCTCCTCTTCAATTCTCACTCATATCGTTTTATTTCGATTTTCGTTGGGATAAGTACCTGTATCCAGGAACATTAATACGATCAGAGGCATGAAGGGGATTGTCATAGATTGACTTTCCGAATGGCCACGACGAGTGGAGCTCGGGGAAGTCGCTGCTGAAGATTCCCCTTGGCCTGCGGGTATGCTCGGGAGCCCTCATGTCATCGGTACCTTGAATCAACCGTAAATGAACGATAAATTAATCGATCAACCGATTGATGAATGCATGTGACAGGGGCTCGAACTCACCCTTGAGAGCTCGCACGTAGCTCTGCCAGAATTTGGCCTTCTTGGTGATTGGCTCGTTGCGGCCAATCATCGCGAGGTTACTCTTGAATCTTGCGTCCATTGTCGTACTCATTTTTCGCTCAGTATTTCTCTCAAATTCGTTATATCGTCACTCCGTGAGAGTTTACTGTCTACTACTCCTACCGACCACTTTCTCGTTCGCTAAAAACGAGATATGAAGGGAATGCAACAACGCTGTGAGAAAAAATTCGGAATTGTACACTGTTAGAAAATTGCTCTTGAAATTTCTTGAATATTCAAGTAATTTTCGATTTCCAGATCCACGCGGCACTGGAAAACAGTGAAAATTGGGAAAATTCAGGCAAAAAACTTGCCGAGTTCTCAATCTATCAAAAATTCAGTTGCCTTTGATGTTCAATTTTTACAATAAGTTTGAAAATTCAAGCTTTCATTGAAATATCAATGATGGCTTGCCATGAAAAACCCAATTTTCTTGAATTTTCAAGATGAATGAGGAACTTTATGAACATTTTCACTTGAAATTAAATTCAAACTCACAACACTGAGAATTCAGATGAAGCTGTGACTGAAATTTCAAGAAATTTTTAACAGTGTGCGACCATTTCAGCAGTAATTTTCAAACCGCAGCACTGAATTCGACAATTCGAATTCTGGGGAAAAATCATGAAATTCTCAATTTCACTAAAAATCTAATGAAATTCCAAATTCTAGAATTTTGCTGTTGAAAAATTGAACCAACATTCGCACTTTCTATCAATTTTTTCATCAAATTGGGATCCGTCACGTGATTAAAATTTCCCCGAAATGTCTCGGAAATTTAGAACAGTGACCATTGAAGATAAAGAGAAAAAACAAAAGAGAAATTCCCAGATAATAAACTATTCTTCATGCTCTTCCTCACTGAACTAAATTAAACTAAATTAAACACCAAACTATTCTAATCCTCCTCCCCACGCCCAGAGAAATGGTTTATTTGAATCAAATGAATGGGTTCATTAGCGACATGCTCATACCAAAGCTTCAATTCAAAATTAAACTTGATTCTCATCTTCATTTTTATCCACGTCAAGTGAATAGTCTTCTAAATGTAAACAAATAGTTCGGTGATTCCAATCAACAGTTTATCGAGTAGAAATAGTCAACATGCGATAAACCTCCATTTGGAATAACTAAGTTGTTTTTTCACGTACAATTAAAACATTTTCATTGAAATAAATATTCGTTTATTAATTTCTCTGAAAAATACTGCTGGAATGAGAAGAAAAATCCGAGAAAAAGGAGGTCCATTCCATTTAAATGCGTCATTTCTCGGGTTTCACGATGGATTTCGCATGAATCAAGTTAATCTCCCCCAAATACCCCCCGAAATCACCCAAATATCACTAAATCCCTCGAAGAAAAAACAAGATTGGCGCCGTGACGCAAGAGTCCCGGATTTCGCGGCCGTTAAATTTAGTTCAGTGATGCAGCCCGGGGCCGGGCAGACTCCCCCGGCCATTTTTAGCTTCTGTGCCTCTTCAACGCGCACGAAAACAGGTGGACCGAGGCTTCGCAACGAAACCTGCGTCCCACCATTTACCCACGGGACTCGCGTCGTTACACTTTCGTGTGACTTTGACCGATTTATTCGACCCTCCCCCCTCGCCCTTCATCATACGCTCGGCTGACACTGACCCAATAATTCCACTCGTGTCTGGGATGTCAGGATCCCCGTAATGAACGAACGATCGGATAAAAACCGACGAATCATCAGTGGCGAATTCGCCTGACGATCAAACACCCGGAGTTTTCTTGGCAGGCGCCTCGAATTATCACGTTCAAATCGTATTCCCCTCGATGACATACCGTCTTGCTTAAAAATATCACTGGGGGCTCAAAGCCAAATATTGTGTGCCGCTGATTTGGCCAAAAGCACACCCACAATCTCGTCGTAGCCTAAATTTTTAATGAGTTATTAATTTGAATGGAATTCAAGTGCGACGAGAATAGAATCGAGTCATTGCGTACGGAAAAATAGTGTCTTAAATTAAAATGCGAGAACGTTGAGCGAGATACTTGTGTTCTCCTTTTTAAGAACTTTTTGGATACACGTATGAAGAAATTTTAGAGACGAACTCAACGAATTCAACGGAAAATTTTTGTTTGGGCAAACTTGTTGAGAAAGGGGCAAAATTGTCTCAATTTAAGACAATTTTTTTTCTTTTGTAAGTAGAAACTATTTTATGGAGAAAATCAATAGAGTGTCATATTTTTATACAAATTTTCCTATAAGATATTTTCTATTGGAATTTCGTGACAGGATTTTTCCAAGTTATTTTCACTCTATTTTTCTCCTTTTTCACTAAAAAATCAAATAAAAAAAGTGAGACAATTTGAATTGAGGAATTACAAGCCGAGGAAAAATAAAATTCTATTGATTTTTACTATGAAATATTCCCCATTGAACATTTTTGGTGAAAACAAACGCGCTAAAAAATGATAAAATTCAGACTTGTCCTGAATTTTTCTTAAGACGATGGTATTTTTCTAAGCTATTTTTACGAGAGACAAATCATATTTTTAGACAAATCCCAAGACCTTCGACGTCTTATGAGATATTCAGGCAAAATCCTCGTGACAGTCCACATTTTAACCGATTCGTTTGTTTCAGTGAATTTCTCTCTGAACCGAGTATTTTCGAAAACATTTCTGACAACAAATTTCAACCCCTCTTGCCCATGTCTCCCATTAATTCTACAGAAAAGTTAAACTAATATCTTTGAATTATCATTTGACAGGAATATGTCAATCAAATTTGCTTGCAAAAAATTCAACGGCCGGCGAAAAAGATTGAACTTAAATCCAGTATCTCCGGAGATATTAAAAAAATATCTATAAAATTCTTCGGGACTCATCTCATGAAATAGTGTACCTCTAAATGTCTTCGGAACTAATGGATTCTTTAAAAATTGTCAAAAGATTGTTTTTGCAGCGCATAAACTGTTCCACAAATATTTCTCCCTCAGATTGACAGTCAAAATCAACTTAAGCGGTTTTACCGCTTCGCTACAGATTTCCCAATGGTACAACTTCTATAGAAACATGAAATTCCGCAGATTTTTCCTATAGAATAATTTGTACTGTTCATTTTCTACGAAAAAACGCACAGTGAATCTGCAGAACTGATCAACAGAATTTCCCATCGAATTCGCTAAATTATCCTCCAAAATTTGTTGCACGGAGAGAAAAATTCAATAACAATTACCAGAAAAAAACGTAAAAATTACGTTTCGAAGAGTAATCCGGGTGCGAAGTAAAATTCAATAAAAAATGTGAGTCGGAGCTGAAATTGTACGAATCGCCACGTAAATTCTCCGATTTGTTCCGTAAAAATTAACCAGCCGTCTGATGACTCACCGCTGTGGGGACAAAAGCCGTTCGGTAATTTTTCCCCAACGATTGAGAAATTTGACGGAAAGGAACGTAGAAATAACTCACCAGCTTCACAAAAATTGTTGAACGTTCAAGAATTTTTTATTTTGGCAAGTTTCTGTATGATTTTACTTCTTCTTCGGGAAAAATTACGTGACAATTTCGTACTTTATGCGGTGATGAACCTGCAAATTCACTGAACGTTTCAGATTTCTTCTCTTCCATTCCTACAAAAATTACCGGAAAACGATTCCCGATTGCGGATTACGTGAATTGTTCCGTAATTTTTACTGAATATTTTTCTCCATGTGGTGCGTGCCATCCTAAAAATCCCCGAATTCCTCCTCCGCCCGACATTCAAGTAGTTAAAGTAGCGGTCGAGTCCGGCCTTCTCCGCGCTCCTCATCTCTCCCCTTTAAACTCGATTACCGCCCAGTAACCCCCTCACCCCTCAAACCCCCCGAAATGCGCCGGAAATCGCGAAATAAAATAAAATCTATAAACTAGCGATCACTCGTTCGTGCTCTCGAACCTTAGTGGGTTTGGTAGTCTCGATCGGGGCCTATTTTTAACCAAGTGTATAAATATCGAATGAGATGTTACATAAGCCCGAAACGTGCCAATTTATTAGGATAAACGATACCAACGCCCCGCACACAAGTAAAATAACCGAAAAATCATTTGTTTGATTCACTGCATGGGATTAACACCAGGTGGCTCCTCTTCACGGCACAGGGTGGGCAACGAGCCCCCCCCGGTTTATTACATTCAACACACGCATGCAACATTCTCCCGCGATCGATATAGCTCATACTTGAAACGCTCTATATGCGTTTCGGCTAAATGCGTTCTGAATGCGGTTAATGTGTCACCCTGGTGATGGTAGAGGTCATCGGTGGTATTTCATACTGCGCTAGGTGTCTACTGCAGTGGGAATTGATAGCATTAATCAAGGCAAATGAGTGGCGAACAGCAGGAGTGATTGAAGGATAATTAATCGAGGGAAAAATGTTTTTGTTAATTTTTTATTCAACATGAATTTCGGATTATTCCGGATAACTGCTATAAATTAATGAGGGATTAACGCACGGCATTCACATCAATCAATGCAATTACTAATCAACAGTCATGATTAATCGGGTTGATATGTGCGGAGCAGAGATTCTCCAGTCATAAATACGAAAATCCAGCGTTTCTTCCACTTCAGCACAAATTGATCACAACAGATGTTTCTCCGTAAATAAATACTCTTAATGAACTTCTTGATTCATAGTCATCCCCAGAAATCACGCACATGTTCGAGTGAACGAGTGAAGAACTTTGAATTGAGAATTCAATGTTTTGTTTTTTGGGGAAAAAAAATAATGATGGAAAAAACTAAACGTATCGATCAAACTGATCAATTACCTAGTTTCGGTTGACCGTTCGGTTCGAGGATTGGACCTAACACTGGGCGTCAGCCGCCAAAAATCGCGAACAAGTATATTCCGGGTGGTTACCCTGAGCGCCACCCTACGACGAGCTTCGGAAGCCAACCCGCGACATTTATGGCAACTTGGTTACTGCACCCCTCACCCTTCCCTTGGAGATGTAGTCTGTTGTCTCCTCCGGGGGGAGATGCTACTTTCTGTCTCTCGTTTGAGTCGGGCCACACATGCAAAGGTCGAGGGAACGTAAAGCAACATGATGCGTCAACAAAAAGCGTCGGTGCTTCCGTTGTTTGTGTCATTGTTGCAATTTGTTTTCTTTTTTTTCGTATTGACGAACGGATTGTCATGATCATCCTTGCTGGTCGCCCACTGCCTCGGCCCACGCGGGATTGAGCTATTCCAAGCCCGTGCATTCAGAATAAGATTCCGTGTTCTCCATGAAATTGCGTTGGCTCATGCGTATTGTGAGGAATTTCACTGCTTATTTTGTTTGGAATTTCTCGGCGTTCATTGGAGCAAGGTCTGGGGGAATACACTGCTGAATAGTTTGGGTAAATTTTTTGGATAGTGATATCGAGGGGATTCAGTGCACAGCAAAAAGTAATGTCCGAATTTCAAACGCCTTTTGTAGACATTTTTTAGACACAAGATCTACGCGCGCGCTCTCGCGCGCGCTGATCTATTCATTTGTTGAAATGAAGAAATGGAATTCATTGAATTTCATTTTCTCATGAATACCTTATAAATATTGATAATGAATCAAAGAGAATTCGACTAATGATTGAAGTGAATAGCGAAGTAGAGTAAAAGAATCTATAAAGAATTTTTCATTTTCAATTAATTATCTTCAATTTTTTTAAATAATCGGTCTCCATAAAAGGACAGAATTTATTAATTTCACCGATAATATATATACATGTGAAATATATATATTATAGATATATATATGACGTGAAAAAAAAATTTACCTCTGAAGAATTTGAAATTATGTCACTGAAGAATTTGAAAATGCCGCATGTTTTTTTTGTGAATAACTTCGTGAATAACTTCTTTAAGGATTAGCGGTCAGGCAGTTTCGAGATATTTCGATATAAAACAACCTCACGTTTCGTTCATCTTTAGTAAATAGGACTAGAAAACGTCTGAATGGAATGAAAATTTGTCTGAATTTCAAACATGAGTTAAGCTGTTTGGGCATGTGTTCGTCTGAAATTCAGATACATTTTCATTTTATTCAGACGGTTTTTAGTGCCTGAAAAATTTCTTCGAAAGGTATGTGAAATTCAGACATTGGTTTTTGCTGTGTGGAATTTGAGGGGAATATTAATGAAAATTAATAAAAAGCAGGGAAATTCAGTAAAATATTCTCTCGAATTTCAAATATTTTTCTCTTTCTGTTGTTGAAAAATCCGTCACTCCATTGAATTTTTACATGTAATATCATATGAGCCTTAAAAGTATCAGGTATTTCCCGATAGGTTCATTATGAATGAACGGAGGAGTCAATTCCATAGACAGTTCCGTAATAATGTTTAAGAGAGCGACATTGAATTTAATTGACATTGGGAAAAATCATAAAATTCTTCATTTTTGTGAAATTTCAAATTTACTTCTGTGAATTTACAACAAAAACATGAATTTTCAGTACCGAATCACGCTGAACATTTAATTATGAGAACATTCCTCATACTTTCATTATTTCTATAAATTTTCATGGAATAATTGACCTGAAATTCACAGTTTCTATTAATTTTTTTGACGAAATTCCTCAAAATTAGAGTGGAACTGTCGCTCGATAAAATTTTTCGTAATGACAGCAGCATTGCAACAGTCCTATACAGGAAATTCGTCCTCCAGTTTCTTGGAGGCGTCTCAAATTATTCGCCTCGTAATGTCCAATGTCACTGCCACACGATCTCGAAAACAGATCGTTTCGAATGCGAAAATGTTTGAGGAACATAGAATTGGCACGTCACTGGATAAATCGCGCCAGACTAGGTGTCCTCCGCGAATTAGAAATGGGAGAGAAAAACTTCCTTAACACAAAATTTTACCTTAATACCACTAGAATTTTTCACAGCCGGTGGATTGTAATTTTTTCCAGTACTCGTACTAGAATTTTTCTAGAGAATTTCCCTCCGTGTAGGTATTACCTCCCTTTCTACGATGTGATTTTTAAGAAATTGGCTAATTCCTCCGCGTCCGGGGACACAATGCAAAGTACTCATCCGCTCTCAGTGTGCATCATTCCCCAATGTATTTATATTTCAAATTCGGTCACGGCCAAACGGGGGAGAGAGATGTCTTGATGTCTCTGCCAGCCCCAGAATTATTTCGTTCATTGCCTGCATATTCACCCACATCCCACCACATATTTCTCTACCCATGCGATTAAAACTAGCGATTCGAGTTCTTCGAACACCTGAAGTTCTGCAATGATGCGGATTCCCTCTTACGCAGGTGAGGGGAACAAACAGTTGGCGACAACTGAAGTGACGAGTGACTGACCTTTGCGAAGGTGCACGATGCATGTCCTCGATGTTTACCATTTGCTCTTGATAAAACAAGTGTCACGCGTCGCGTTATAAATGCACCAATTTTATTCTAACGACCTCCTTCAAAATGACGATTCGTCGAGGTTTTTTTCGGAATTGTTTCGCCTGTTGCAATTTTTATTTCGTTTATATATAAATAGTGGGTTCCTCTTGACCCAGTTGTGCCCTTCGTCGTCCACAGAGCGGTGGAATTAGATCATTTCGTGTGGAGTGACGACTTATTTTTTTCCCAGATTTAATATTATATTGTCTTGCCACGCGTTAATACACTGAAGGTAAAAACGATCGGAAATAGGGGGATGGGAGCAGTGCAATATTTTTTTTTAGTTTCTTGAAATAATTTCCACGAACATGTCTATGATTTTTAGTAATCATGAACAGCACTGACTTTATTCGTGATACTGGACACTGACTAGAATAATCCTGATCATCAGCGATTTTTGTCACTGAAACACGCGTGAAAACATTCAATAGAAAGCCTAGCGAATTCGCAAGAAAATTCTATTGGAATTCTACAGGAATTTTAGAGGATTTCTATAGGATTTCTATGAATAAGTCAATATATTTTGAATTTCTGTTCGAATTTTTCTCTGGTGATTTTTTATACTAGAATTATTGGGCACAAATTTTCCAAATTTTTTCTGCTGGATTTTGTTTTATTTTGCATTACAGACTTCGAGTGGAAAAAGCTTAGAAAATTGATGCCCAAGCATTCTTACAGAATAAATCTCAAGGGAAAAATTCAAACAGAAATTCGAAATCTGTTCACTTTTTCTTATCCAATATCCAATAGAATCAGCGCAAAAACAAATAAAATTGTTGAATAGAATTCCGATAGAAATCCTATCGAATTTTTCAGCGAATTGGCGAGGTTTTCTGTTGAATTTTTTCGTATACGAATTTACTGATAGATTCTGAAAAAGTGGAGATGGGTCCCTGCTCATGACTTCTGCATTCATTCAATACGAAAGCCCCTGATCGTGATTCACTGAGTCGAAGCGTTCATTTTCCGAGTCATTTTCTCATCTTGAGTCATTTCAGGGGGTGACGATTAACTTCAGCTCGGTTGATGGCCATTTGCGATGTTCTCAGGGTTGATATTGAGACGCGAGTGGAATGACTGGAATCGATATGGGTGTCTTTAGCAGCAAGACTACATGCCAAGGACGCTGATCCCTTGCGGAGGTAAATTGAAACTTATGAGTTTTTCGCCAGTTATTCTGGAAGGATCTACCCCCTCGTGAGGTGGAGGCTCTTGTGTGGGGGTTGCGTCGGGGGTGCGCAGATGCGCAGGAGCGGGGGAGGGATGGTGGTTGGTTGGATGATTCCTGGAAGGTGGAGGTTGGCGAATTCCGGAGGGCGAGGGGGCTCAGTGCGACGCATCTCGTCATTCTCCGCCATTCCTCTTGGCGAATGAGGAGGTCTGAACAGGAGAGCGGGAATGAGGGATTTTCGGTGCTTTTAGGACCTGTCGACCTGGATTAGAAAACCACTCTTGAAATTTAAAGGGAAAAATGTTGGCATTTTCAACAAAAACAGAGAAGAAAACTTGATTTTCGAGGACATGCCGGTAATTTTGAGAAATCTATCCCCAATTATTGGGGATTTTCATAATTGAAACCGATATTTAGACGGTAAATGCTGGAAAATTTTAAAATATTCTGAAATATGCAATCGAGAAGTTTTCATAAATTTTAATAAAGCTTTCGGGGGTTTCAAATGGTTTCAGATATGCTTGAAATGCTTTCGAGATGATTCGAGAATTCACCGGAAGATTCTGTACAGCTCTGGATCTTTTTACAATTTTCTAGAACTTTCGATAATTTCTATGAAGAACGAATAATCCTGGAGAATTTTCCCAATGATTTTCAAATTATTTAGGATTTCTAGTTATTCTTAAATTTTTTAGTTACTGAAATACTAATCATTGTTCAACATAAAAAAATTCACAATTTTATGAAAAAATCTGTAAAAACTAAAGTTTTGTTTAATTTCTAGTAAACATATCTTTCAAATTTCAATTAATTAAAACTTCAGCATAATTTGGTATTTAATGCTAATATTTCGATCGAAACCTCCAATGAATTGAGAGAATCCTCGTCTTTTTGCTGCTAAAAAATTCAGAATTCAATTGGATTGTCATTATTTCTCACAGTGTATAACTGTAAAGTTTTCCTACTCCTGAGATAAAATAAAATTCATGAATAAACTCCTCATTGCGGCCACTATTCAACGGAAATGTTTGATCTTATACATTTCCAAATGCAACATTAAGGGCAACAAAAAGCTGAAGGTGATATATTTCAACGGCCTTAACTTGAAAAAAACTTCAGTTTTCATTTTTTTCGCGGGACGTATTCCCTTTATCCAGAGTTTCTTTTCTCCGAGGCATCAGTCGACAAATATTTTTCTACATCACTCGTCTACAGGCGACAATCCTCGTGCTTTCGGATTTAAAAAATCAAATAATTTCTGGAGGGAGATACTTATTTATTTAGGATTGAAGTGTCGCCTGGGTGCCTGAGGATTGTATC